ACTGCTTAAGCGCTAGCTGAAAACGTGTGCCTACTGTAGCAGAAAAGTTGTCCTAATTTTAAGGCTATTTCACTGGCGAGCGGACACAAGAGTCGCCGAGGGTCCCTTCCGAGGAGTCACCCGACCTCAACTGCCTGGTCCATCTAGAAAACCCATGGTGAAACCCCAGTCCGAAGCCTTACGCATTCGGTCTGGCCACCCAGCCCTAAGCCCACCAGTCCCAACTGGAGGACATTTGAGGGTACCCTTCCCCAAATTACACAAGAACATGCAGAACAACGATTAGCATTATATTCCCTCCTCCAACCGAGCATGATCGTACACCTCGCTCCGACCGTATCATCAAAACCGTCGGGCTCGAATGGTGCCAATCGTATGAAACGGAAATTTGCGCCATACGAGGGCACGTGAGTAGCACGGAAACCGGACTCGCAAAAGTCTCCAATGAGTATTCGAGTGGGCTCGCGACAACCACACTAGAAGGCTGCGTGCAGGATTAAGGATCAATGAAGACATCGTCACGGGGCGCATCTGCGAACAGATCAAAAATGAAAGCGATATTCTCGCGTGGACACCCAGCACGATGTTAAGGACACGTAGTTGCCCGGGACAAGGGTTCATACTCTCGTAGAGGTTCCACGTGGGCTGGCCGCGATATTGGCGACAACACAAACAGTCACATGGCCATTCCCTTCGACATCACTAAGACAACTGACAACTCCCCCATCTTCATCTTAGTCATCATAGCCATCACACACGTCCCGAGCATCATCACAAGCCCTTTTCACTATGGTCCGGTTGATTGCAGAATCGCACGTACATCTGAAGCGTCTTAACCTTAAACATTCGTCTGGACTTCCCCTGGCAAAGAACACAGGACGAATGGTGAGTGTGAGAGATAGCGCGCGAGAAGGAGAGAGAGAGAGAGATGTACAATACGTATGTATGTAGTGAGAGGGAGATAACGCAAGAGAGGTATGGAGAGAGTGTGCGTGTGACATAGAAAAAGAGAACAACCATCAAGCAAACACCGCGAAAGAGGGAAACAGAGAGATGGGGGGGAAAGAGAGAGAGAGAGAGAGTGAGAGAGAGAGAGAGAGCGAGACAAAGAGAGGCAACGAGACATGTATACCTATGACCGTATCCGCTACCGTGCCCAGGAGGCACGAGTTGGAATGTTCCCAGATCACTTTCTCAATCCCCTGGAGCCTCAGCCCTCAATGCTGCGGATCCTTTCAGGTGCCCAGACCCCAGATTCTAGGGCTCCCAACTTCGCGCTTCGCGCTCCGCGAAGCGCGAAGCGCGAATAACTTCGCGCTCTCGCGCCGCCCCCCCAAAGGGAGAAAAGGAGGACGGGACGAGGAGGAGGGGGAGGAGAAACGAGGACCGCGAAGCGCGAAGCGCGAATAACTTCGCGCCCTCGGGGGAGCCCTTGAGATTCTAAAACCTTCCGGGGCGTCTCGCGTGCCCTCTGGGGCCCATCGCGGCTTGTCGCGTGACTGCTCCGGGCCCAGGTGAGAGGGCCCCGTGACGGGCCCAGAGGGCCCCAAGTGGCCGCCGAGACGGGCCAAGAGGGCCTCGAATCGCCGCATGATCTATCCAAGACGGCCAAGATGGCCCCAAGACGGAGCAAGAAGCCTTCGAGACACCCCAGGGGCCTCCAAGAGCACCCCCAAGAGAGCCCCAGGAGGAACAAAAGAAACGTCGCCGATTCAGGCGTCACGTAAGGGGCGGAAATCGCGGACGCGGCGAAAGAGCGGAGGGGGTGCAATATGTCTACCCCACGCGATGGGGACAGTCCAGCCTGCCCACGCGGGGGAGGATGCGGGTGAAAAGCCTCATGGCCGCACGCACCCGAGATCATTCTCTCTGGGCTCGGGCCTGGGCTGGATTTACGGAAATGTCAGCCAGCGTGTACCCCAACAATGTTTTTAGCCATATGTGTTGTGCAACCTATGGTGTGCAACCCATGTTGTGCAGTGAGGGTGGTGCTAAGGTACACTTCATGTTGTGCAGTAGATGTCGTCCACTTCACGTGGTGAAATATATATACATATATACACACTTATATATATATATATATATATATATGTATGTGTGTACGTGTGTATTGTGAAATCTTTATAGTTCAACGTATGGGATCCGATCGGTGGTTCGCACTCTATGTGTGCGACCGGTGTGGTGCAACCGATATGAACCAATAAATGTGAGCCAATACGTGGTGTGCAACGTATGGCGTAATATATACATGCAATGATCTACGTGGAGCAATATAGTTGGTGCAACCTAGGTTCTGTAATATATGTTGTACAGTACATGTGGTGCGACCTGTGAGGTACTATACCTGCTGTGCAGTACATGTGGAGCAGTAGATGTGGTACAACCTCTGTGGTGCAATCTACGCTGTGAAAGGTATGACACGCCATCTATGTTGTACCAGATGTGGCGCAATGTCTGTAGTGCAACATGTGGTTCAATCTATATGATGCAACAAATGTGGTGCCATATATGTTGTACGCACATAGATGTGGTGCAGTGTAAGTGGTGAAACCTATGTTATGCAATATACGATGTGCAATATATGTTGTACAATCTATGTGAGGCGGCGACGGCGGCCACCTAGCCGCCAGACCGAGGACACGGCCAAAACGACGGGCGGCGTCGAGGCGGCGACAGGGCGGCGACGGCGGCCACATAGCCGCCAGACCGAAGACACGGCTCAGCTTCTGGGAACCGAAGGCAAAACCCCTAAATGCAAGCAATGTTTGGGGATTTTGTATTACATGTGTGTGCTTGTACGTATGGGTGTAGTGTCTACCTCTCTTAACACATACAGTACATGAATATATACAGAGAGAGAAAGAGACAGACAAACAGACAGGCAGACAGACAGGCAGAGGGAGGGAAAACGATAAACGGGGGAGAGAGAGAGAGAGAGCCAACAAACACATAACAAAAAAACAATATAACTAAAAAGGGATGATGAGACGGAGGGGGAGAGAGGAGGGGAGAGGGGGAAGCGAGACAGAGAGAGAGAGGCGAAGAGATAAGGAAGAAGGGATGATGGAGAAGGAAGAAGGAAGTGCGTATACATGTGCACATTTGGGCACGCAGGGCGAATTAAGACGGTGGGGACAAGCGATACTAGAGAAGAGGGTATCCACAATACCGGCGTACACATGTGAACATTTACATATGCGCCCATAGGACGGGCGTCGGAAACCAGAGATCTGGAGAGATAAAGAGACCGAGAGAGCGTGAGAGGGGAAACTGGAACGAGAGAGAGAGAGAGAGAACAAGAGAGAGGTAGCTCGAAAGGGCGAGGAATGCCTTGTTGCTCCTGCCTTCGCATCATCTCACCTCGCTTCTCCCCTAACGTACAGGTATACATACATACATACATACATGCATACAGCCTTCCTGCACGCCCAACGCAGTTGGGACAGTCCTCGAGGGCTGTCTTGGGGAAATTGCCACGGATCATGAACACGCTGTACCCCTGAAGGAAAAGTTCAAACGAAGAAAGAAGAGGGCACAGAGATCATCCGCCCTCGCTCGACTCTCATCTCCCCGTTCTCCCCTCCCATCCCATCCCCTCCCCGCTCCTCCTTTCGCTCGCACGCTCCGCTCTCCTCCCCCCCGCCTCGGCGGCGCGCACAGCGTGGTGGCGCCGAGGGAGAGGAGGAGGAGGAGGAGGAGGAGGAGGAGGAGGAGGAGGAGGAGGAGGAGGAGGCCTTGCAGCAAGGCGCGGGGGGGGGGCGTCTCCGAAGCCTGAGCGTGCTCTCCGCCGCGCGTGCGGCCTCCTCCCGCCCTGCGCCCCTTCGCTCCTGCCCTGTGGCACACAGGTCGACGCCGACGCGGCTCTCGGCTGGCTCGAGGGGGATCTCCGGAGGCCTCCCCAATGGGGGCCAGGGGAAGATGGGGCTGGAGGATCGCGCCGCATCGCCGATGCCTCGCCGACGGCGTGCATGAAGGGGCCCCAGGACACACAGATAAATACACACAGATAAAAAGATTCCCCATGTTTGCCCATCCATATTTTCTGGGTTTTGTCTTCCCCCCCACTTCCCATATTTTCCCATATTTTCTGTGGAATGAACGATGAATTGTGTCTGTGTGTTTCTTTCCCTCCTGAGTGTAGAACATCCGTCTCCACATCGAGCCGCACCACCGACGCATCGTCGATGCGGCGCGATCCTCCGACCCCATCTGCTCGGACCTCCCCCGCGAGGCCTCGAGAGGAGGAGCGCCCGCTGCTCGGGGGAAGATCTGCTGCTGCTTGGGCTGCTCCCTCGCACCGCCAGGTGCGGCGGTCGGGGACGCTTGCTCCGCGTGTCGCGGCGGGGGCCCTGGCGACGCGCTGTGCCATGCGAGGGGACAGCGTGTCGCGGTGCCGGGTGGGAGGGGCCGCTGGGAAAGGCTCGGACCGATGATGGTTGGGGGCTCGGACGTGGAAGGAAGGCGTGCCTCGTCGAAGCGTGCTGGGCCAGAACCAGCCAGAGTTCCCGACGGTAGCGCTTCTGCCTCCCTCCGGTCGGAGATGTGCTGCTTTGCCCCGCCCCACGGGTGAAAATTACCAGATCTGGGGCTCGCAATGACGTCGAAGGCCGCAGTCAGAATCAAAAACGACATGCTGATGTTGATGGCTGCCTCCCTCTCCTCTCCTCCTTCTCCTCCTCCTCCTCGTCCTCCTCCTCCTCGTCCTCCTCCTCCTCCTCCTGCTCCTCCTCCTCCTCCTCCATCCCAACTCCTCCTCTCCACTACACCTCCTCATTCGCCTCCTCCGCCTCGTCCCCGTCCACCATCACTGAGTGATTGACTCACTCGCTCCGCCTCCTCCTCCTCCTCCTCATCCCTCGTTCTCATTACTGTTCCCATCCTGGGCAGCACGGCGCATGCACATAGACGAAGCGTACACCGAGATGAGGAAGAAGAGGACGGGGCTGCTGAAGGAGCGAAGGAGGTCGAGGCAGCGGCTGGTGGACGGTAAGGGAGGTGCACGAGGGTAGCAGGGTCGACGACGAGCTTGAGCAGGTTAACTTACGCGCTTGATAAGTTACGGGATGCTTACAGGGATGCGGAGAGAGAATGAGCGGGTTCTGGCCCGCGTACTCGGAGAGCAGGTTTGCAGACATGCACGGATTAAAAATCGCCCAACAGAGAAACTGACGTGGGCCCGAAGAACGGTTCTGCTGCAGTTATCGCTGCCACTGGTCAGGGGACCAATGGAGAGACAAACTTGCCGAACACCCTTATCAGGGCGGCCTTGGCTTTACCAACATAGATTTGGCGACTACTGTCGCAAACTTCACGGCCGACTTGAAAGACACGGAGGGCGACTGCCCGCACCTCCGCATAAGACCTGAATTGATGGAGCATGTTCGGCAGGACGAGACGGCTATAATTACACTGGTATGGTTGCGGAGCATACAAGCGGAAAACCTACCCAGAATGGGGCCCTCCTGTCGAGCTCGGATAGCGACTATTAGAGCCGACCGCGAACATCCGTCGACCCGATCACGACACTGAGTGGAGAGAGGAGCGTCGAGTTCGAGAGGCAGAGGGGGAGTCCATCACCGGCATCCGCCGCAAGGAGCGAGCAAGGACAACAAACAGCGCAATGCAAAATATCGGCACCTCCGGCTTAATGTACAACTCTATGGAAGTTTTCAGTCATACACTGGGAAGCCCCGATTGCTGGCACATGAGAGTAGCATGCCTGGTTTCCTTGCGGAAAAATCTACCAATGTCTTCCCATCCCCATCCATGAGAAGCTTGAGGGATGGGTGCGACCGTTCGCAGTCGAAGAGGTGCTCAAGGCAGCACCCTGAAGCCTGCATGTTGCGTTTGGCGTGAGCTGCCTCATCAGTCAATCCACGTCAAGCTCAGCAAATTCTCGTATGCCGTTCCACGTCTTGGGCGCCTGCAAGGAGTGGCTGGCCATGAACTGCAGCAGGGCCTCGCTAGGCCCGTCCTCGTACCCGATGCATGCCTTGGTGCCAGACAGCATGGTGCTGGCCACCTCCCACTCGCCCTCCTTGTAGTTCTGGTAACCCGCATTGAAGAGCTGGAAGAAGTCCACGGTGTAGCGCCGGCGCATGGCGGAGATTACCTTGTCGCAATTGAAAGCCTCGGCCGGGTTGTAGTCGGAGCTGAGAGCCGACTTCTTCTCGTTCTCCAAGTACTGCCTTGCCTTGAAGCGGATGCGCGTGTTCCACATCGGGATGACTTCACACTTGTCCGGCTCCTCCACCCGCACGCACCTGTAGTCCAGGTCCATGCAGAAGAGCTCCATGGGCTCCCTAGAGCCAGACACGTGGACGCAGTCAATGCGTCGCAGCTTCGACAAGAACGCTGGGCCACACCATTCGGTCACGGCCTGCGAAATTATCAGGGAGACCTTGTAAGCCCGTGTCGCGGCCTCCACGCTGTGGGCCACAGCCACGTTCGGAGACACGTAAGACGCATCGATCTTGAATTCGCTCCCAACCGCGCCCTCCACTGCCCAGCCGGAGTGAAGGCCAAACGACATGTTGACCTGGTTGTTCTCCCCGAGTCGATTCTGCAGCCCAGGGTGGCTGCGGTATGTGGCCAAGACTGGACTGCGGTGGAGGGCAGCGAGCATCTTTGCGCATGCGAGCAACGACAATTCGGCTAGCCGAGTCGTTGAGCAATCCTCTTCCTCCGTGTCGCGCCATATCAGCAGAAATACGTCTCCACTGTTCCGATTAGGCGCAGCGTGGAACTCGCTTGCAACACCGTGCACAATCTCAGCAATCTGGTTCACGAAAGTCATGATCTTAGACTGCAAAACCTCAGTGGCAACGCTGAAATCGCGAACGCGTGCTACCCCTATGATGGCATGCACAAGCTCGCCAGGAACCATGGCGTCAACCCCTACAGTATTGCCCCCTGACAGATTGTGGCTGATGATGTTGGCTCCTGCTTCTCCGAAGCCAAGCACCAACAAACTTCCGAGCTTGATGATGGTCTTCTCCAGGATCGACGTTTCCATCAAGTCCTGTGTGGGCCCCTCACAGCAGCAAGACATAAGGCGCTCGACAAAGCTGGACATCATGTACTTGCGCTTCAAGTGCTGATTCACCTTTTCCCGTTGCTCTGCCTTGAACTCCTCATCGGAAATCTTCATGGCATTCATTGGGTTCTCTTGAATCTCCTTCACGCGCATCATCATCGCCTCGAGGGGGTGCACCAAGAGCTTGTTCGAACCGCTCATGAACCATATGGAGCCAGAGATCAGAAGGACAAGCACAAAGAATGTTGTGGCTAGACTCAAAACGGACTCTTGGCGGATGAATGGGCGAACGTCGAACCAGAAAGCGAGATGGTAGACATCGTACTGGCTGATGCTTATGACCTGGGGAGCGTACTTCATGGCCTCCTGGTAACGCAAGTCGTCCGGACACCCTATGACGTGCGAGAGCACGCCTGGAACCTCCTGGGCCAACATCGAGAAGCCGAGGCTGAAGAAAGAGCCTTTGTTACACCTCGTAGTCCAATTTCCAGTGATGATGCCGTGGACCTGCTGCGGCATATCCCCGTACGAATACATCGAAGCTGTGAGTCTGTCGTCGGCTCTGGCGTCGGTCTGCCAGCCTGCGAAAACCGCCTCCCGTATGGTCGCGGCGGCGGCCCTCCTGGTCACCGCCGCATCGTCTTTACCAGACACCCCGACCCAGAAGAGCTGGCTGTATGAGTTCTTGGCGCTGTCTTGGTCGATCTCCTGGCCCTCTTCGTGGGCGAACCAGTTGTGGTAGTAGATGTACTTCAGCATCGACTCCTCGTAGTCCTCCTGCTCGCGGGAGCCCTGCCCGTAGGCCTCAAAGGCCTGCCACACCGCGTCTGCCCCGTAGTCGGCAGAGAACGGCAGCAGGTTGACCTCTTCCCGGGCCAGGAAGGGCAGCACGAGGAGCAGCGCCAGGATGAGGACGATGAGCAGGCGTATGGTCAGGTCCGACAGCTTCTTGCCGATCTGGCTCTCCTGGCTGTCCTTGCGCACGCGGTCGTCCTGCAGGTCCTCCTCGTCCCAGTCGTCGAACTCGCCCGGAGAGGTGCCCGTGCGCTCGCGCTCCAGGCGCTCCTTCTTCCGCAGCCGCTCGAGCCGAGCGTCGTGGTAGGCCTTGTACAGCTTCACGATGCGCACCAGGCGAACCACCCGGACGATGCGCGCAACCTTTGCCCCGATTTTGGCGGATCGACCGCTCCGCAAGCTGTTGGCGTTGCCGTCGTCGGATTCTTCCCCTCCAAGAAAGGTGTCCAGTTCTTCCACGAACCAAGTGATGTCTAGCAGCATGCTTACAGTGGCTACGATGTCCAACACCATGAAAAAACTTCCAGGGTAGTCGGCTCTGCCCTTGAGCGACAGGAAGATCTCAGCAGTAAAGACTACCATAGAACAAATCACTATTGTGTTGAACGCTATGTCTGCAGGTTTGTGGGTGAAGATCAGTCTCAAATCATCACCGGTGAGTGCCCATATGGTCAGAATTGTGGTTAGAGCCACAAAGTACATGTTATCGACCACCCTGCGCGACCAGGATGTAAGGAACCATTCAACCTTGACCGACTTCACTTTAGCCATTTCCGTCGAGAAGCTGGGGTACTCCACGTCCACGGACATGACCGATGACGTGCGGGAACTTAGGCCGATGCTCCCGACACCGTAGCTCCGGAGCCCTTCGCTTCCGAGAGAGGTTTCGGTTTGGGAGAGTCGCCGAGACCCGGATGCGTTCCTTGTGGGTACAAGCCCTGCGTCGTCAACGTTGAGGGGCTGCACTCGCATGGCCACCCTTCCTCTTTACAGAACGTTGCAAGAAGCCAGGGCAGCGTAACGAGGGGGTTACGCAGAACGGCCGAGTCAATGGCTGGTCTCGGCGTGTGCACGTTCGGCGCAACAGGATTGGTAACAAGTGACACTGGAGGAATTCAAGGGCTCATGAATGCCTGCGCCCTTGACCTTGAGCCATAACGGCTACGGAAGAGGCAGGGAGGGATGGGGACGAAGAGGAGCTTGAGCGTCAGACGCCCCACTTCCTGATGAAGACAGGTATGCAACTTCTGAAACACTTTGGCTAGATTCAGGGCGAAACGATTGGACTTAGGCAGCGTGCTGCAGGACCCCCACCACAGGAACCTATCAAGCCCCCAATGTGAACCTTCGAACACATGGAAAATCTTGAGTGGGGCCCCCAAAATTTAGATCGCTGGAGCTCGACTGCCCCCAACTGTTCTGGAGGCTACTGAAACACGTCAGGCAGTGTCAGACAATGCCTCTGGATACGTTACGTGCCCACAGCTTTGAATGATAACAACAAAACCATGAGCAAGGTATAGCTGGGCAGCGTATCATGCACGCGCACTGCGGAGTGGGCATGGCGTGGCACAGCGGCATACACGAGCGAGCAGAAGCATTCGAACGGCCCCATTTTGCACACGGTGGACTCGCTCACAGATCTATAGAGAACGCTATGATGGGACTACTAGCGACGGAGTGGAGATGCAAGAAGACAGGCTGCTCCCTGATCAAGAAGAACTGTGACTGCACGCATCCGTTTGCTCCTACTACACGTGATATCCTCAGAGACCGTATCTAAGAGCATACAGCAGAGTACGACCTTCCATACGCACCAAGCGCGATGGGATATACAGCCGTATCTTTCTGGGCATCCGACGAAAAGGGTTGACATGATAAAGCCAACATGAGGCCCAGATCGGCTTCACACTAGCACCGCGCGACTTCAACGACGTGTACAACCCAGTAACATCAGAGTGGCTAGGCGGTGAGAGGGACCAGGAGGATCAGCTTCTTTATGACACATTGCATCATGCTAGACCGCTCCATTCATACTTCTATAGATGGCAGCACGAAGATTGCGATGCGCTGCCAGAGGAGATAATCGACCAGGTGAACCAGGTCACCCACAGGATAGAATCCGCATTGGAGGCAGACGATTGGCTTCTGAGTCCGCAAACACTTGAACTAGATGTACTCCCGCATCCCAAAGTACGAGAGCATGTTGTGTTTTGTTTAAGTTGTTCCCTACCTAGGCTCCGCCTAGAAGGGTTCTTACTCTGTTCGCTTAAAGGGGCCGGGCAGTGTAAATCGCCCCGGGCGGTTCCCCCGGTCCCCTGGGAGCCAAGCAAAAGCAACAGCAAACGTAAAATCAAACGCGCGGTTCCCCCAGTTGCGCTCCCTGGGTGCCAAGCAAAAGCAAAAGCAAAGGCAAAAGTGAAGGCAAAAGCGAAGGCAAAGCAAAAGCAAAGCATAGCATAGCATAGCATTAGCATAGCGCAGCATAGCATAGCGCAGCATAGCATAGCATAGCGTAGCATAGCCTAGCCTAGCCTAGCCTAGCCCAGCATAGCATTGCGCAGCATAGCATAGCATAGCATAGCATAGCAGAGCAGAGCAGAGCAGAGCAGAGCAGAGCAGAGCAGAGCAGAGCAGAGCATAGAGGCTCCAACTCCTAGGTAGGGTCGCACTGGGATAATATTTTTAGGATTTGAACGATGAGGCCTTACGTTGAAGGCGGGTTCTTGGACCATCTATACCGAGCGACCAGGGCATAGCTAGTGACATCCGGAAGCGGGTCAAGGCTGCTCGTACTGTGTGGCGTCACTGTTCGACCATTTGACCCTTCAGAACAGCGAAGGTCATTAAACGGATCATGGTCATCGCGTTTGTTATGGGAGCTGCTCTAAGTGATCTCAGCCGTTTTGTGAGACCCAAGACATACACAGCCGCGATCGACGTGTAAGCTCCTAACACGTTTCCCCAGAGGGAAGCATAGTTGGGCAGATGAGAAGGGAGGAATAAACGCGGACAGCATGGATGCCGTATTCAAGGATAGGAGGATCGAGAAGACACCCAATACCTTGGAAATAAGAACACTACATGTGTACCGTTGCTGGGCACTCTATCCAGAGGATAATGAAGCAGTGATGTGTGTACAGGGGCAGCTAGACTTTCACCATCAACGCGTCTCTGGGATAAGAGCACACCGTGGGCAGATCCATCTATGTCAGACATGAAGCAGGCCCAGGCGTGCACGCATGATGGCACGAGCGCACGAACGACATGTGCGTATTCGACCCCAGCACAGAAGAGCATGCTAGATGGATGCAGACAGACGCGAGCATCATGAGCAGCGCGGCCAGAGAATGGGCTCAGTCTCGGCCAGAGGAGCCAGCAGCATCAGAGAGGGAACCACATGAATTGGAGCGACCGCACTGGTGCGAGTTCAGGAGATTGGGGGAAGATGGAGAGGAAGACGTATGTAGTCGTCGTTTTCGCAATTACGCAGCACTTGCAGCACACAAGATGGAGAGAGAGAGAGAGAGAGTATCATCGAGTGGAGCCTCTCCTACACAAGCTAGTGGTAAGCAGTCAATGTCCGTGGTGCAGGTCGATGCTCTCTAGCCGCAGGATACCAGCTGACCACGTAGTTAGAGCAGCCACGAAGCACGGGAACTTGTCACGTCGATCACTCCAGATGGGCACACGGACTTGAAGAGCCCACAGACTTATGCTGCAGCATTTACGAGCATCAAGCGACGGACTCCGACGATTCTCAATTGCGCGTCACCCCTCACCGTCCAGGGCCGGCAGAGCCGCCTAGAATCGTGGCGAATATGGCGTGGAGGGCCAAGCGCACGGTGGGGGGCAGCAGCAGGGGCCGATGGCGAGCAGGTAGCAGAGGGGGGAGGCGGGGGGGGGGGGGCAGAAGGAAGCAAAAAGGCACGCAGTGGCAGCTACAGCACAGCTTCAGACCGCACTCGCTTCGCTACAGAAACTCGCACTGAAGACCGCATTCGCTTCGCTGAAGAAACTCGAGCTTCGGCACAGAAACTCGAACTGAAGACTCGCAAAGCCGAACTCGCTGTTCGAGTTTTGGATGGTGCCGCACCTGGCCCCACCAGTGCAGAAGGGGTTGGAGGCAGGCGTGGCGCATCGCGAAAACGCGCGCTCCAAGGAAAAGGGGCACCGGATGGGACCGCAACGCGCGCTCGTAGCAGCAGGATCCGCAGCCAGCCTGCAGGACACCTCGGGCACGGACCCGTACGAAGGAGAGTCGTCAGAAAAGGTCCTAGAAGAAGTGGCCCAGCGGATGAGCACAGAGCACGGGCTGCCGACTACAAACGAGCCGTTCCGCGTTTTCCGCCAGAAAGAGACTCAGAAGCCAGAGGGAACGACGGACAGCGATCGGAGGATCAAGCTGCGGTTCAGCCTGAATATCAGGCCCGACCTGCGCACGACCGTCCAGTTGGCGACTCCGCAGGGCAAAAAGGGCCAGCCAATTTCCCCACTGGCAGTCAACGCAGTCTGCAGGGCGCTCTCAAATTCGCACGGGTGAGGCACGGGGAGGTCGAGCCGGTGGGTCCAGGCCCCCGCACGGAGCTCGAGAGGGCGGTGGAGAGGAGGCAGCTCCGCAGTTCACCGCGGAATTGGCTGCACAGGCAGAGACACTCTCACCGGACCCCCAGAAAAGCTCACCAGATGGCGGATCTGAGCTCGTGAAACTACTCCTCCAAGCAGATGGCGGATTATTCCAGAGACCCTGAATCCAAAAACGCTGTCATCTCTTGGGGGCGCATCTTCTACTTCCGCCGCCTTCTGCCAGCCTTCCGCCGGCGGAGGCGGCCTCGTTTTACTTCCACCGCCTTCCACCGACCTTTCGCAGCCTTCCGCCGCGGAAGAGTTGACAACTCCTTCGATCCTCGAAGGCAATGCCCTTTCTGGAACGCCCCAATTGAATCCGTTAGCAAGCAGAAGGCCGAATCCACAGCTCCGTACGTCATGGGGGCCAGCAGGTCTGGGTCTACCTAAGCAAATGGTGAAGGGCACGCACGGCCTACAGCAGCGTTTGTATATCTGGTGGTGCTTCAGGTGCGTCCCAAGTCCAATCATGTACCTGGCTACTCGAGGGAGCTGCCATTCATCATGATAGTCGTCCTTACCTTTCTCCTTAAGGGGCACGCACGGAATACAGCAGCAGTGTGTATATGTGGTGGTGCATCGTTCGCGTTTTAAGTCCAATCGTTTACACGACTACTCAAGGAAGCTGTCATTTATCATTATTGCCGTCCTTACATTTCTCATCAGAAATTGCTCCACATCGTACATTGCACTGCCAAGCCATCGATGGCGAGTGGATGTTCTGAATCGGTTTCGGCACCAGCTGCGAAGGCAGCCGCACGTCTCAACATCCTGACCAGTGGCCTTGAGGCGGAAGCCGACTTCCACACGGCCAGAATGTCTCACACAATAGCGGCCCACCGTATCAAGCAGCATCAGCCCATCCTGATCGGAGAGTTCTCCCGTTCCGCGGCCAGCTTGCAAAACAGCGCGACTCACTACGGTGTGCCGCGCGGTGTGTTCTTTGAGGGCTCCAGAGATGAGCGGGAGCGTTTCATTCGCATGCGGAACCTCTCGACCCAGATTGAGCTCGTTCAGATTCAGAACGACAGACCTACGAAGCTCACCGGCAACTTTCTACGCCGAGCCCCTTCGTCGCCGAGCAGATCTGTGAGCCCGATCCATATGGTGCTGAGGTCGGTGAGCAAGTGAAGCGATGCTGGTCAGTAGCAGAAGCACGCGTGCATGTGCGTGCGCCCCTCCCCCCCGCACTCTCTCCTCAGAGCCCGCCCCCCCCACCCCCCCCCCACCGCCGTCCCTCCGCCCCTCTCTGCTGCCGAACCTGTCTGGCCAGCAGCTCAAGCAGTCCCCGACCGAGCAACGCCCGCCCAGAGAGTGCTGGGGTTCAGAGCAGGAGGAGGAGTTTTGGCACACGTCTTTGTACATACAGTCGACCTCGTGCTGTTCTTTCCATCGTGCCTGGCGTTGGCCAGGCGCTGGGGAAAGGCTCGTGCAGGTGAATGCAGATCGAGACGGAGAGGCGCGGCCCACAGAGGTTGACTCACCCGTCCCCCCGAGATCTTCCCCTGCAGTGCTAGCGTCTGGGGTTTGGGCGTGGGGTCTGGCATCAGACAGTGCCTGCATCGAGGGGACGAGGACTGCAAAAGGGAGCCCCTGCTGGAGTGGGGTCGCTTCCCT